TGTGGACGCGTGCGATTTTGGCGTGGATCGCACGGTCCGTGGAAACGGTAGTCACATGATCGGCCCCCCGGTTATCCGTACGGCGATCGTTCGCTTTCTCTGGCAGTTACCCTAGTTTCGATAGGCGGTAAATATTCGACGTAGAAGGGCTTGGGAGCTGTCTACGACGCTTACTATATATGAACCTCCCCGACACCGCTGATGTAATTGAACTGACGTCGGTTGCATAATTTGCTATTGACTGAAAATTAGGACTCGGCTGGTTTCCCCGTCCGCGCGTCAAGAATTCTCGGTCGCCGGATCCATTCCAGGCTACCGAGCCCCCCATTCTTTTCCCGCTTTTGTCATTCTGATCGGCTTTTTCGAACCTCCGCCGGTTGTTTCAAGGTTGCTCATCTGAGCCGCGTATTTAATTACCATGACGAATTTATGACCAGACAACCATTTTAACTTTCCAATAACTGGTTTAGCATTTTACATAAGTCCGTTGTGCCTTCATTTTGTCCGCCGGGCGACGAATCATTAAGTTTTAATGACTCATGATTTGTCGGTTTAGCGCCTCGTTAATGTTAATTCATCGTACGCTCGTAGGCAGATCGTACGTTTCTCGTAATGGTCCTTTTTCAGAAGTTTTCTTTCATTTGAAATGGATTTGTGGTAAGTTGTGGTTAGCAATGTTTTTATCCCTAGTTTTTGTGAATACGTTTGCATTGCGATTCGTTTCTCGCTCGAGCTCTTGAAATTCATTAAAATTAATCGAAATTTTCGTCACGTGTTTAGCTTGATTGTATAAAGATTGAATAATACCATTGATACTATCTAATTTGGCTGTAGCAGTCTTGAACTCCTAATTTCAAGTTTCACAAATTTTCTATCAAACTCAAAAGATCTAAATTATAGGGAACGAAAACGTTCTTCTGTTGCATTATTCGTTAATTTTGCAACCTGTTGCTCTATGCCGTGCAAGCGTGAAATAAACATTCCATCCATCCGTTTAATCGCTGATCCTACCGCACGTCTTGTGTAACGAATATTTCACTTTTACCAGCCAGAGGTTAATTCATCTATTCTTTTTTTCGGTGCGTTATCAATTCCTACGATCAATCTCGATAAATCGTATGCGTGTAAACTTTACTTCACGTCTCGAGGATTATCGGTGTTGCGATCGTACCTAGAGGCGTTCCTGTCAGCGTATAGTCGTGGTCCATGAACTGTCCCCAGGCGATCACCATAACCGTGCCCGCGTGATCGTGATAACCCTCGTCCGGATGCATCGTGCGGGACACGATGCGCGACAATGGCAGATCTCGGCCGGTCGTTGATATCCTCGGCGCTGTTAAACCATCCGAGAACCGTGGAGGCATCAGTCTGTGAAAAATAGAAAGATTCGCCGTTGAAACACTGTAGAATTATGCTGCCAACAGATCAAATTAATTCTTTTCAAGGAATACACTGAGAAAGTATCCAGAAATTTTGGCGAATGTTTAGCTGAATGTAATTCTAAAAATATTTCATACGTATTTCCCTTTATCGACCTTAGTTCAAATTAAAAGGGTGAACAGACCTCAAAGTTTAGAAGAGTGGAAGTGAAAATCATATTTGGAAACTACTCGTGCTAGAAGAATGTTGTAGAGAAGAATATTGAAAAGTATATTTTCAAATTCCAAATAGGAATGAAATGGAACCTCGATATTTATTTCATAGAAAAAGTTATTATAATTGAGCTTTTTGAATACAGTACTTCTTATGTAGACTAATAATTCACCTCTGGAATGGTGACAGCGTGGAACCCCAGGTTGGGTTCCTCAGGTTCGTGCAGAGAGCATCATTTCGTCGATACTTTCCTGGTCGACACTCCACCTCGCTCAGGAAAGCTGGGCATACGTCCTGGATCAGCGTCTTCGAGGTGTCGATCAGGGGCAGACTTTTCTCGATTTCTTCGACGGTTAGCCCGTACCTAACATAATTCAATTTAGTAACCATAATCTATTTTTCAATTTTTACGTAACATACTATTTGTTTCTATCATAAGAATATTTAAAAATTGCTTAAAATTGAATAATTAAAAGTTTTTAGTCACATTTAAAGTGCAGTTGTAAATTCTAGTAGGGCTACTTAACGAATGGTTCGATAAAAAATATTTGCAAGAAAAATAGATGAAGGAAGTCGAGGCTCAAATTCTAGTCTAGATATTTAATCCACCAACTTTCACTTCTATATTTCATACGTTCCAGTAATGTAAGGTAATCACTAACGATTAAAGAGTCATTCTACATCGGCAAGGATCTATATATAATAAATAAATTAAAATAGAGAACACAATTAGAATGAAGGTTCTTACGTTTTCACAAGGTTCGCGGTAATGTCCAGAAGAAGTTCACCGACCGTAGCCAAGTCTTCAGGTCGCCACATTTTAGCTTTCGGTTGCGCTACATCTGTGTCAATCATCGGGACATAGAAATATCGAACATGTGAAATATTAATGTTGGTAGTTAAGTTTGCAACAATCGAATTTTAAAAGGATTTGACTCTATAATTAAATCATCACCTCCAGCATGTATAAGAAAGACTAGGGCAATAATGTATATGGAAAAGTTTTATAGCCATGGTGGTTAAAGCAGGGCTAGCATGCTCGGCAAATCTGAAAAGCACGGATTCGAACCCCCCATAATGATACGGTGTTCCAATTTTTCTCGAAATTTTACTATTATTTACATTGTTTAGTTATAATACCTTCATTCTTCACAAGTTTTCCCTGATATAATTAACTAATATAATAATAATAGTTTACGAATTTCGAATAAATTTCTATTCAATTAACTCGCAATTAAAAGTTGTATGTAATATTATAAAGTTAAATAAATATTAAATAAATAAATATATACAACATAATTCGAAAAATTCCTCCAAAGGAGTCCATAAAAATAAATATAAAAATATGAATGATTGAATATTTGGTTTAAATCCAAGCGGAATATCTCAATATATCGAATGAAATAATAAAGCAAAAGTAGTTATCTTCTTCGGATAATTTTAAGTCAAAATGAGTATCCGCCATAGTATTCGGTTTCCAATCCAGCGAGTATTCAAATGGAATTCAGGTTTTAAATCAAATGAATATCTAGGTATATTTGAATTCAATCGAATGGGAAACTTATTTGTTATATAATCGGAGTAATTAAAATTCATTCCGAAATTCCGCACACACTCAAATAATTACAGAAGATTCGGAAGTATTTAAGTGTATTATTCTGTCACTAACTGAATATACTCACTGATACGTTTCCTTGCTTCAAGGTATGCGCGATTAATGGCATCATAAGTGATGCACGTCTGCGATCCGCCGGTCGTCGGGCTGAAAGATGAAAAAAACGGGAATGAAAGTTTATACCACGTGCTCCCGATCTTCGAATACGATCATATTATTTATAGCTTCCCATTCTCTTCATCCCCTACCCCCATGTTCCTTTCGCATTTTTCACATTTGAGTTAATTGCCTAACCCTGTAGCCTACTTTCGTGAGAAGCCAGGTGACCATGCCTTCGCGAGCCACGCATTTACCGTCTCTCAGCGCTCTCGGATATTCTGTATCAAGGTAACCCGAAACTATCATACGAACCGTGGCTTGTGCACTAGCGAGCGCACATGAATTGACATATCCTGTTTCTTGCAACGAAATAATACTGGCATTGACGTGCCGCTCGTGGCTTTTACCTTCGAAGGTTGACCCGGCGGTTTCGTCGCCTTGTCACCTTGCTTTCGGTTTAGCCAGTCCCCGATCATTTCCTCGTTTAGCTTCTGGCACGGTCGATTGCCGATGCCGTTAACGTCGGGCAACTATTTTTATACCTTTTCAGGAAACCTCTACATTGTTTTTATACAGGCATTCACTAATCATGCGGTTCAAATAAATTGTAGTATTACCTATCAATAGAAAGAAAGCTAGTCCTAATTGGTAATGGTGTTATGAATTAAATTTTTGCTCTTCTTAACACAACACACATTTTATTTATCGAAATAAATTCTTCTTTTCCTATTTTCAACGAGTTGTAACGTACATTAATTAATATGTAACGTAAGACATGTAACGCATAAAGATTTTAAATATTTATATTGCATACTATTCTAACAACGGATCATTTAATTGTCAACGAGCGTCTTCCATTATTAGTGAAATCGAATTTTCTTTTGATTTCAGTTCTTCATCCCTTGAAGAATGTTGCAGTGTCAGCTATCGAAGATTTAGAATAAATAAACTATTATAGCAGAGTGCCTTTTCAGACTCGATGAGAAATATGCTTTTTTTTATTCATTGATTCTTGTATTTTATTATTTATAGTAAAGAAATGTATTTTTAATCGAGTATTGTTCGGATTTATGAATGTTTATGGTAAGTGTGAGTGAAAATGTGAAAGTGTCAGAAATATGTGGTTATGAAAGATGACGCCAGGACGTATGAATGAATGTTTCCAGATGTGTTCTACTCTCTGCGCCTTGGAAAAATACGAACCACAAAACGGTGAGTACCTTTTGTTATCTGTTTGCAATGTCATCGAAAAATTTATAATAGAAAGTTGTGTAATATTTTCAGTGAAATTTTTGTACACAATTTGAGTTACTCAATAGTTTTTTATCGCCCTCTATATGGATATTAATTTTTATGATTTTGAGACTATTTATAATTAAGAACTGAATGTTTGAATAATATTTAAGAGCATAAAAAGTATACTATATCGAAATCAATTTTTTTTAACTTTTTATTTCATTGTATTCTAAAAATACATAGTACAGTATTAATGATTCTCAACGATAAAAAGTATTTAAACATGTACAGCCTTTTTAGGATGAATTTTATTGACTTCGAAATATGTTAGAAATTTTATGAATCTTAAAACTTTGAACATTGACGCGAGTATCAAATTAAACACAATTTAGAAGTATGAAAATGTTCGCAAATCGTGTGGACAACTAGATAAGCAGTCCCTGTGTTTTAATATCATTAGTATTACCGCACATTTATTCTGTTCGATTGCGTGGAGCCATAGATGGAAACGTCACGTTCAAAACAAGTTTCCCTCCACAGCCATTTACATGGACCGCATTGCGAGTAACGTAACAAAATCGACTGAGGGCAATTTCAAAATGGGTAGAAGCTGTTCTTAGTTGCAATTTCACAGTAACACTTTTAACGACATGTGAGTTATATAAATTGTTACAAAATTCCACAATAATGACATTAAAATTTTAAATATCCTGTTCTAGAACTATTCAATGAATTTCGTGCTTCAATAACAAACCGATGAAACCTTACTGTTTTCAACAACTTTAAAGTATTCATAAATACTGCCTTAATAGATTCTTATCGAAGTATAACTAATAATTATTTTAATCATAAATATAAAAGTCCAAAAAAAGGTTACTAATAATCGATCCATATAATCAGCAATAAAAAGATACAAGAACCTTAAAAGATCTGAAAACTACATTTCCATTTACGCGACTCGAGCTCTATAAATAATAGGAAATTACACATTTAATTATCGATTTTACACGGGCTGGAGTATATCCAGTAATACAAAAAAATCGCATCCATATATGAAACATATCTAAAGCAACACTACATTGCAGAATGTTCAGTAGACGTTGCTGAAGTAAAGAGCACTCGATCTCTCCGTTAATTGCATAAGTTATAGATTTCCCGTTTCATTCAGTATCAGCTGTCAGTGTATCGATACACAAGGCTGCATTGTAACGGTAGTAACGACACGCGAACATTTTTTCCGCAGCAATAACAAGCATAAATTCGAGAATTTGTTACCCCTCTGCCGCGTAAAATAGAAACTTTCATTACATAGAGACTTGTTAATAAAGTATTCATTAATCCAATCAAATTTCAACAATTGCGTATTGCCGATGCTCGCGGGCGATTCATCGCGGTCAGCCTACCGTAAACACAGAAAACTCTATGGGAAATTCTTCGATCGGTTCGCTAGGCCAGTTGCGAAAATATGCGAAGTGCACTTTAGCCGCATAAATGCACGCTGATCTGGCTTTCACTGTGATTGGAAACGCAATGTCTATAACGCATGGGTCACTTGTTTCGTCTCGGTGAATTCTGAGGTGTATACCATTATGCCTTATCCCCTGGGCAGTTCTAAACTTCTTTTTCATCCTGCGTTTTTCCATGTTTCAAGTAAAATCATTGGTAAATAAGCAATTCAGAATATACAGAAAAATCTAATTTCCATTGATTTACATAAATGTTCGTACGTTGAACTGGATCTATTGCGAGGTTACTTTGTGCAGATTGAAATACATTGCATGTAACTATAAACTATACTTTTTTTTCGTCGTTAATAACAGAACCGTGCATTTTAACGAACTCTTGAATGTATACTGAATTTTCAAATAATATGCATGGTAAACGAATAGAACCCACAGTTCAATTATGACAGAATCTAATGCACCGCTTCAAAAATGTCAAGAATTATCGGTATTTTTCATTTAAAAGAGTAAAATAATATCTTTAATTGACACAGGTTGATCAAAATCGGTAGTGTATTATCGTTTCTCTCAAAGAATGTTGGCGTGACCACGTGACAGATCCGTTTTGAACGTTTGCCCGACAAAGGAATCGATCGTGAGAGACAAAAAAGTCCGCGCGGTGAAGTAAATTCTCATCGGCCCAATTATCGGACGCATTTTCGCGAGTAATTTTCTCGTTATCCTCGTTAGATTCCTTGGTTTTCGAAATTCTCGATGATTGTTGCAGCTCCATTTATCCCTCACGTTTCGCTGGGCTTCGCGCCGCAAAGGGATCACGACTAACCGTGACGGCTCCTTTTTCTCTTTATCTTCTCGCCGATTATAAGCTTAATCGTGACTTCACGGCCCGCTGACAAGAACACACGTCCGACCGCGCGAACGTGGAACAATATTTACGCGGACACGTAAGCCAGCTCGGATCTCGTAATTACGAGGAAACGACGACGCAATCGCGTTACGCCTTGTCATGAACTAACCGGTACATACCTTGCCCTGGCGAATCGAAATCTTCTCAAGGAATTATTAGGTTGTGACGGAAACAAATTAGGTTACATACAATATTTCTTGAATATTCCAATAGATTTGATTTATAATTATGTTTCGATATTTTTGGTAGTATTCTTACGAAACAGCGAATGGATTAAACATGAAGATAAGTTCTTTTTGATCGTAGTTATACACATTTGTAATGAGTCTGAGTGAAATTCTTAACATTAGATAATGTTTATAGTTGAAACTACACTTATTTATGCTGAAATTTAATAATTACTGCGGTACTGATTGAATTTTGTGATATGTTTCGGATTTAATTTCATTAAGTTTGTTTCAATTTCCTGGTTAAGGAATTGGACTAATTAATAATAGATGAAGGATAAGATTGAATTATTTAACTCCTTACACTCGGAAATATTATTTTGAATTTATAATAATATTGCGCAAGGTATTTTATTTTCACGTGTACAGTAAAGCTACGGACGAACGCTGTGAATCATAATTACTCATACGTCTGTAGGAATTTTTACATGAATCGCAATGTTTCCATTTAAAGTAATTGCAGTGATTAAGGAAAATAACTTCGAGATGCATTTCTCATAATATCTTTTAAAAGTTAAAATATTATTCTCGATAATAAAAGCAAATTTAGGTATGTTAAAGAATTATCAATAACATATAAATCTAGAAATTTGTATCTGGTACATTTTTTAATGTTTTAATTTTACCAGTAATTCTGTAATTGGTTAATGCACTTCTTAGAGCTCTAAGCTACACAAAGTCGCGATTTGTTTCAAGGTTTTGAACTCAGGAATTACAACAGTTCTCCATTGTCTTATCCGCGATGATAAACAAAAGGAGACCTGGTTTTCCAGCGGCGCAGTCTCATTATACGAACGTTCTCACGATCCGTTATTCAGATGCAGTTTTATTCAACCATGATAATTTATCATTGGTCGTACAATGTCCCTGACGAGCTACGGAAATACGCGGCTAACTGTGAAGTTTATTTCTGGCTTCAACTTTTGAACCCTGAAATGTTTAAGATTGATCGAAAGAATGCGACGAAGTATTTGAAACATGAGATAACCGCCATAAATATTACGCGTGCATTATCATTTACCGATTAATCTTAAACTGCAGTAAACCCCTTAAACACTTTGTACATCTGATCGAAAGAATTTTCACGCGAACTTGATTGGATTGTTAATAATTTCACAATATCTTTCCTTTTATATCGTGTAACATAACTTATAATTTGTACTAATAAGGTTTCAGCATTCTCTGAAATCAGATTACAATGAAAAAGAAAAATATTGTTTTGTAACAATTTAATGACATTTATAGACCACGTTTTAAGCTTTTTCTTCAGCTTCTCTGCTTCGTTGGGTAAGCTGAACTAATTTATCTAATTTTCAACCTAATTTATACGACTCAAAAAGAACCACATGGAACAAACGTTTCACATAAATCGAGGGATGAGTGTAATATCTTTCTCCATCAATTACAACAACAGGACTCTTTGGATAGTTAAAAAGGACATACATACATTTGGTATTAGTGAAATTTATTAACAGATTATAACGTCAGCTGCACAAGCTTATATTTTGTTATGTAAAAGTCTCGCATTTTCTTCCGGCAGTGCATATCTCACATATTCGAATTTGATATCGTTACCTAAACGTATTCGACTCCCCGTATTCGATTTTCTGAAACTTATCTTTCGCAACGAGAATTTTAAAATGAAATATATCATAAGTAATTTATAGTGAATTTTAAATTTATATTTCCTCTGAGAAGTAGTATAAATAAAAAAGTAGTCCTGTTTCCCAAAGCAAATGTCGCAGGAACAAAGGTTAGATGGCAGTGAAAGTACCGATCAGTGCTTCTGACCAGAGTTCCTGCTTTCTCTACACTTTGAAAACGCTGAAGGAGGTCTTGCCCCGGTTGTGTAAGATTACGCTTCGTTTCGGTTCTTTTATTTTTTCCCATAGTTCCAGACTTGATAAAAATGCCAAATTACACGGTGCACGTGGCTATTGAATTGATCGGCGCCGATCGAGGCGGAAGATTGACACAGCGGATAAAAGGATTACGGGGACAAATAAGAATTGTCATTACAATCTTTAAGGATTACTATAGTAGGCGTATTACTCGAATAAATGTTTAAGCAAATGAATATTCAGGATTGCCTGATTTAAAATGTCTAAAAACTTCTAAAAATTATAGGCAAAGCACAAGCTTTGAATTTTTCATAATAAATATTTATATAGAATTAGTTACTTGTAACAAACTTTCGCACACAATAGATTAGAGAATTATTAAATTTACTTGAAAAATAACAATAAACTTTTCTATTCGTGCTTTCCGTTAAATTTCTGTAATAATATATATAGCAGATTACCGCAAGGATCTTCTAAATGTATAATATAATATAAATAAAAAAGCTATCATCAATATTCAGCTACGAAGTGTCTTCTATAATAAAGAAACATTCTAAGACACAGACGCATAACTTCATTACCGGTCTCGAACGTGTCAATTAAAAAATATGTCCACTTACAAGGAGCGAAGTACATTATAGTTGTAGTCGTATGAGTTCGTCCTTCCTGGCCCGTTCAGAATCAGAGCGCAGTCGTCGCCGTTCGCGTAAGCCTCGACCGACTGATATTGCAGTCCATTGCATTTCCACGCGACCAGTAGCAGCAGGAGTCCGGTTATCGCGGATCGTATCCGACCTATCGCGGATCTGCAACATTATAATAGGAACGATTATCTTCACCGGCCATCGTGGTACCGCGCCGGAATATTCGATCCAGCAGTGTTGCTTATAGTAATACCGGTGTATCTGTCACGAATTACTTTCGGCCGATCGTGTAAGATCAATTTCTCGGTTCAACAGACTTCTAGATCGTTTCTCACACTCGACCGATTGATTCCTGAATCTTGTCAGCTGAGAGAATGCAATTTTTCTAACTTTCGTCATTCTGCTGATTTTTTCTATAAACCAAGTTCCCACAGTTCCCGTTAAACGATTCTCTGTCACGTTCTAGCCTTGAACGGTTTTCATTTTCCCTATATTGAAAAGGATTGAAGCGATTGAATTTCAATGTTTACCATTTCTTCTGCGCTTATCGAACTGTCAGAAGACTGCGTTGATTTTATTAGTGTCAATAATATTGTTTGTAATATCGTTATTCCCAGTTAAGTAATGGTGGGCAACAAGAAAATGGTTCATCTTCGAGTTAAGATTAACCTTGAGTTTACAAACTTAAAGTAGACTTAACGAAAAGTAGCGTGAAATATTTCTAAATAATTTAAAGACTGAATACATCTGTATTATCTCTATGCATCATTTGTACCAATGAATTTTAAAAAACTGAAAAAAGTCAGGACGCCAAATGATGTTATCCGCCTTCAATGCGTTAAACACATGTCCTTAAACTGCCCACGTTTGTATAGGTTAGGGTCGAGTCTATTGTGCCATAAATAACGTCTTTCATGTTGTACAATATTTTACAAATTACGTAGGGACGATTTTCTCTCGGCTTTTCTCTCGATCTGAATTTCTACGGGGTATTTTTCATGACTTTCACCAAGCTTGCAATGATGAAATAATAGATGTAATCGAAGTTTTATTTAAATTTACGTACTGATGCTTAATAATCAAAGTAATTGCTGTTGTTACTGTTGACATTCTTTTATTTTTTGGAAGCCTATGAATACGATAGCGACAAAAATTAGGTGTCCATGGTAAAATGAATTCTAGTGATTGCATGAATTAACTAGTGAATTGGCTATGTACCAATTGATATGTACTATCAATTACATAATATTGGTATATACTATTAGTATATAATTGACTATATACTGATTAACTTTTAATTCTATTCAACTGGCTATATACTAATCAACTAGAAATTCTAATCGATTGACTATATATTGTACTAATCAACTAGAAATTCTAGTCGATTGACTATATACTAATCAACTAAGAATTCCGTTGAATTGACTATATACTAATTAACTATAAATTCTAATCAACTGAAGTTCACCGGAGAGTACTTTTTACTACTAAAAGGACAATGCCTTCGGGCTAGCCGTGGGCGCACGACAAAAATGATCATCAGCTATCACTGAACGCGTTAGAGAATGTAATTATCGGTGTCCGTGGTTAGGGTAATCTGCATTGCAAAGCGCATGCTAATGGATATTTTCCACGTCTTTCCAATATCGCTAGCTTCGTTTGTTGACCGAGAGAATGTCCACCTTGATGCGAGGTTCGAGCCGATTGAATGTCGATTTGTTAGCGCGCAGTGATTCGTAGGAATATTTTCTGGTTCGTTCACAGGGAAAATTATACATACGGGAGCGCATGGCGTTCCAATGGCCGCACGGCCGTTCACCTTTATTTTAAACCGCGACAATTACTGGCCGGATTAGAATATATTTACTGCTCGAGTGTTGAACGGGTGCAAGACTGGATGATATTACAATTTGTTTCCTCTACGCAGGTTTGTCGCTTCATCCACTTCATTTATAGATCGGACCGTAATATCGGTGGAATGGTGGTGCGTATTATGTAACACTTCGCTTTTGAAATACAATTGCACTTTTTGTCGACACGAGTTCACACTTACGTTGGTCGTTCTGTAGAAATTGGAATGTAAAAATGAACTTTCATTGAAAACGTCATATTGTTTATGCAACAAGTGCTTCGAAAATATTCTGTAGACACACTTTCAGGTACTTCAATAAATTCATATCAATTGTTAAAAATCGTTACTGAAAGTATGGAACTTTTGTGTTACAATAATTTATCGAAAGAATTGCAGTCTGTTAAAATTATTTTAATTGGAGTAGCAACCAAAATTATAAGCATATGTTTCCATAAATTATATTATTTCAAGAATGAAGAATATTTTCCGATCATTACGAATGAAAATATTTTATCCGAATAAAATAAACGATATTCGTGGCAACATTAAACGTTCGCGTATAAATGAATTAGAACTTTCAACGCACCAGATTAGCAAATTATGTAGTAACAAACATATTGATAGCATAATCACGTTCGTAACGCTTCAATCTTTTTTATCGTTACCATACGTTCGTTCTCGATCTATAAAATACCGCGTTCTGGATTCCGCTCGTAGAACTGGTATATTTTCAAATCGATTTCCAATTTGAACGTTACCGTTTCGAATGGTTTGCGTAATTCCTCGAGTGCCAACCCGATCGCAACGCTCAATTAAACCTTCAAATTTTACAGCATATTTTGAACGGCCTTCAAGATCGATCCTTTCGATTTCACGTCGACTTATCTCGATGAACAATGTTCACGGATTTACGAGGAGGATGTGAATGAAAGCAAGCGCGTTCCACATATTAATCAGATAAGAAAGGCGATGGACATTTGAAACGGTTTCGATTTCTTTTTTTCTCTTTTTTCGTTTCTTTCGATTTCTTGTTTCACTCTGGTCACCTTGTGCATTCTGCACACCGCTCACGGACGGAACGCACCGGCAAACCGGTCGCCGGCACGGTTTCATAAGTCCTATTAAAACGACTGCTTTCCGTCAACGGCTCCGGCCGGCATTCGATCGATACAATTTAAGGAATCCTTCGTGGCATGCGTAAAAAACATCGTAAAACAGCTTTCATGAGAGGATAGTTTATTGTTCGCTTCAAGCATTTACGATCCATCCTACGTTAAGAATTATAGGCACTTTATGCCTGCTTATAATGGGCATAAATTTATATATCCATAAATTAATTTAAATAATTAATTGTAAATTAATGAATAGCATTAATATAAGGTGTGTTTGTAATTGGTTGAACCAATTGAATTGAGATTTTGGAAATTTCGTAAATTAAATCTTCTATGTTTCCGATTTATTTCTAACAGAAATAATCGAAACTCACTGTTTTGCCGAATAAATAAGGGAAAGTCTTTTGGAACTTTAACGTTCAGTGTGCCACTGGAATAATATATTAATTGGCCACTTTGTATTAATAGAGAATTATTTATTTCTATGGAAATTCGTAGATCTATCGCAGAAAACTGGATTCATATGTTATTTCGCTCTTGACATGTTCATAAGTATTACAAATAGATCATGGTCCACTAATATTACGAATATATAACATAAGTATAAATATAAATTATTTTTAATCTTTATTCGATGTTTAAACCAATCTAACATTAATTATGCTAAATTCCTCAATTCTTATGCTCCATAGAAACTTAAGATTTTATGAAATATTTACACATTGAACACAACCATGAACGATCACGTTTCACCAGTTTAGTTTAATGTCAAATGCGAAAACATACAGTTAACATTTCACCAGTTAAATTAAAAATACTCTAGACAGACAAATTTCTTCAGTTCCCTGATCATAAACAAACCCATAAAACTAAAACATTGCATAAACATCCGCAATCCGCTTGCCGCTTTCGTCTAAAACCAAAATCAAACAAAATATTCGAAGCGCGGTCATTAAAATCGTTATTCATTAGTCTCGAATACAATTTAAAGCGAAGCGAATCGTTCAGCCGCGACGTAAAGCTGCGTTTACATTGCAACTGCATTGCAGAAGCATAGAAATATATTCCGTCGTTTCACTCTGGAAACATTTACGTTAACTGAACAACTGAAACCATGCCATTATCACAGCTCCACTATAAACACACCGGAGAAAATCATTTTAAACGGTGTTTGACGAATATATTCGTCATCGTTTATTTTCAATTAAACGCGCAAATGAAGAATATTAAAATGAAATTCCACCGTTAAAAGATTACAAAAATTTCAATGTTTATAGAAAAGGTAATTAGTTTTTTTTATGACGAGTATACTCGTCTTCGCTAAAAAACTATTCATTTTCTCATGACGACTATACTCCTCATAACGCAAATTAGTCGTTTTCTCATGGAAAATACAGTTATTCTTGCTCGAAAATTCATCATTTTTCCGTGACGAGTATACTCGTCAAACACCGTTAAAGGGTTAAACAACTTTTATCAGCAGTACGATCAATGCTGCGATGTAAACGGAGCCTAACGCGCCGGGGCGTCCGGTAGAAAATGAAGTCATGGAGACTTGAACGAGCGTTTCGAGTCACGTGCTGCGAGTCACGCGCACGCATCCCGTGTTTTTACGCGCGCGGACGCTTCTTTGTTACCCCCTGTGGCAGTCGGAGTTATTCCGCGTTTTGCAATTTTAGTTTCTCTCCGCCTTATTCGCGCCGCCGACGAAAGGAGTAAGGTAACGCCGCGGACACGTTCGCTCCGCGATAAAATCCAAGGCGGACTTGATCTTGATTGTTTCCACGGTAAATTGTTGCTCCGACGTCCCTTCAACCCTCTAGCCGACAAATTGCGCCATTTTCTTGCGCGTCCGGATTTTCTCGACGGTTTTCTTCGTTTCGGAATTGTGCAACGGATGATCGACGGTGGAAAGTGTAGCGGCAATTATATAAATTCAACGCAAGCGACGCTACCTCTGATCTGTACGATGATAAATCTGTGTTTCCGATGTACGGGCAAACCGAATTAACACGCTCACTACCAGCGTCGCATATTCGCGACGATCAGTGTTTCATATTTTGTGCGGGGAAGAGTAAATTATATTTACGTGTGTTCTCATTTAATATTGTAACGCATGGTATAATGTGCAGAAAGTCGAGGAGATTTCTTCTCTTGATTATTATTTGTATTTTGTAAAGGCGATATGTTCTATTTAGTAAAATTATTGAAAGATACGATGGTAGAGAATGGGTGAATATCACTGATCGATTAAACACTTTCGTACACGCGTTTCCGCATGTGGCTTTCTTTTTACGTGCGTGACGATTGTAATGCAGTACAAATTGCGATAACACTTTCAAATTTTCGTTTCGAGCAGCAAACGTGAAACTCTTATTTATGTTATGTTATACAATATTGACCGTTATATAAAGCATTGATTGTGCAACGGTAATTACGTGCCCGACTGTTCTTTTGGTACTTGCATCTTTTAATTATAATACCACGAATCGGTACTTAACGTTGCGTTCCAAGATTTTTTGGGAATTCTCGCACGATATTAACTCTTTTCTGGCAAAAAGAATTCTACGTGAAACGAAGTGTCAGGAAATTAAACGAAATGTATCGTCGGAAATAAAGAATGTTCGAATCAGAGCAATATACATTTGCAAGGTATACGAATTTTTAAAATCGGGTAAAATCACTAATTTTATTTCAATGGTACAGCTTTATTAATAAAAGTATTATAAATACATATTTTTAAGAGTATTTTTATGAAGAAGCATCTATAAAAAAATGTTTTATGCGTAAATTCGAAATTTTATTCTGATGGTAACGGGACCAATCTTTGCCACCATCGTCAATATAATTTGAATAACTTTCCACGGAGTACCGCGTCCGGCACGTCGATGATTTGGCGGTAAGCCAATCTCATTATCCGTCGATCCCTTTTTTCCCCGTTGAAAGTGGCGGGCCTCTTATTCTTACGAATCACCTGAGTTGGCCCGATATTCTAACCGCGTGACAGCGAGAAATCGGATCATGGGAACATAGGAAGTCTTTCGCCGTACCGGAAACCAACGCGAGGTCGGTGAAAACTCGAAAAGAAGTTACCCGAAAAAAATACGAAACCGCAGCTACTCGAAGCGAATCGATTACGACGCGCAGCGTGACTCGATTATGCATTATGTATCTCGCCCACTTCCAGCGCATGACAATTAAAAGCCAGTTACATGTTATTACAATTTATACCATTCATTCATAATGAAGTACACTTTATTCGGAACCTCAAAAGATATTTTTATCATAATTACAAAAGTTTTCATTTAAAAATTGAATATTAAGATAAGAAGCTTCAAAAACATACAATGTTAATGTTTTTAATATTATGTTATTCCTACAGTAAAAATCACTGGTTTATCATTTATTTACTCAATTTCAATTGTAACTAACTCTTTAACTTCTCAGAGTGTATAGTTCCAAATGAAATAGCGATATAAAACCATTTGTTTAACCCGTCAATTATTTCTAGTATCTCTTCATCGCAGCAATCTAGTATGCTATTCGCAAACAAATACAATTACCACTAATCAATAAATCTCCTGCAAATATCTAATTCCAAGTTCCCGAGAACTTCCGGTTAATTGCATCGATAAAAGTAAAAGGCGCTATAAATACATTTCCATGGGAAGACTCGATCAAAAAAGATCCGTCGATTTCTTCGTAATTTGATCTCCGTTCCATCCGTAATTTCATAGTGCACGTCGGTTTCGGTAATTAATGAAGAAAACGAATTTCCAGCAATTGTCGCCGGTGAAAGTTAAAAAAAAAAGTGCATCGAATTCGAGAGTTACGAAACCGGATCGTCGCTAATTGTTAATTAACCGGGGAAAGAATCGGCACGTGATAACGTTCTCAGGCCGCGGATACGCGTAACATTGCGATTCAGATAAGAGTCGGCGGCAGGCTGATCGGAATAAAAGATCACAAGTGGATTACTTTCTCGTTGCGTCTACCCGCGGATTCTCCTTTCACTTTCCTTCGCTACACGATGTAAATGCGTCTCTCGGCCCAATAGAACTCATTTTGCAGCTTTTCGACAGGCAATATATTATACATTCGATCCGGTTTCGCGATAACAGGAAACAGCCTCGATAGTTTCAAGTTTCCCAGATAATATAGATCCTTACGACACTTCGATTAATACCGATTCTTGCGATTTTCCGGTAAACATTAGTTGCTGCTATCGTTTCGATTTTTCATTTTGTAGTCAACATTGATCTCTGTGATTATTTAGTTAATATTGATTCTTACTAGTGTTTCGACATTAATCAATATTGATCCTTGAGATTGTCTAAGAAATATCCTTACTATCATATTACCACGTAATTTGATCCAGAGGAATTCATAAAGTTTATAGAATTACCTAATTGTTGAAGAGATTTTTATTAATTTGGTAAATTAAAAATATGGAGCTCATTGTGATAATTTTGATTAAGGATTTTATGGTTTACGCTAGTCTTGGTATTATTTAAGAAATAAAAAACTGTGAAGCTAAATCTTTAATAAATGGTTTGAGAAAGATTTCTTAATAGTTTCTTATAAAACTTGAATAATACAAATATTAGGACACTTTAGTGGTTCAATTATATAATGGAATTAATCTTAAAAATGCATCGGAACGCATAGCGTTTATTCAATGTGAAATCTCATATGTTTATGGGTTCTACTTATTCGGATTGGAGATACTAAATTGAGTATAACTTCTTCAACGATCTAAGTATTATATCATCGATGAATGTATCATTAAAGTTCGTTATATTTCTTTTAGCAGCGAGTTACGAGTGCGTGAAGCAATTGTTGGACTGAGGGTATAACGATCCTTTGGAATAATTGTGGCACTCGTTGTAATCGTGTCTTACATCAGTGCTTTAAAACCGTGCTCTTAAATACGGTAATAAAAGCATTGCGTTGTAATAGTTGAGTTAGTTAATTGTGTTGTTAGGTTTAGTACTTGAATGTAATTATAAGTGTACATTTGTTACTCGTCCGGATGCACGGTATGGTAAAATGGGTTAATAAAATGACTTCTTCATGAATTTTTACGAAACATCGAAACAATTAGACATTCCTTGGAAATCAACTGGATTATTCAGTTTTTGCCACGTTGGTTCAAACAATTATAGTAATTTCTGTGTAATTTTGTAATTATGCACATTTCTTGCAGCACTTTCTCCGCTAGGAAGTAGTCTAATTGCGAAATTCTGTTCTCGTTTCAATTTAATTATTAAACTGACGAATTCAAATCTAATATGGATTAACTTTAAATAAAATGTGTTATAAAAGTTATATTAATAACAATCTATAATGGTACATTCGTCAGAGGTTTAATTTCATAAAAAAAGCTTCTTCGATATACTTTTATCTTTGTTTAATGAAACATTAAGAAATTTTATGTACTTACGCAGCAACTAAATATCAGAGCATTGAAAGTATCGAATACCCGTACAAGGTAATAAAGAGTCTGTACTAATCTTAAGTAGCAGGCAATGACGTTAACTATCCATTGTATCAAGTCGTTATTAATACCTAACATAATCACTTCGTTCCCTAAACAAACGAGCCTTCTATAAGAATATTAAACATCCGTTCTTAACACTATCCAAGAACTTCGTTCTTTCTTTCCATTAATATTTTTACTGTAAACATCAATTTTTATTTGTACCCAATAAAGTTTACATCAATGGTCTAGCTGTTAAATTATATAACTTTTAGTTAGTGAAGATTTAAATTGTTAATGGACAATTGTACTATTCGTAAATAGGATGTTTTGTTCACAAAATAAAATAATAACATACAATTAAAAGTTTACAGTACCTAAAATTTCGACTTCAATATAATTTTTACTTTTCGAAAATAGAACTTCCGCATTTTACATTTTTAACATAATCTAATGTCATACACCGTAACATATCTTATTACAGTAATTTTATTAGTTAGAAAATATTTCCTATCGCGATATGGCAACCATCACTATTATCTTTTTAGTTCCTCAAGATTATTTAATTTCACCCCATGCCAATTTCATTTTATCATCATACATTACATCAAAAACATCATTTCCCCTATTTATCAAGAAAAATACACAACGTTTTTAACTAAAACAGTTGCTTATAATTCGTGGTTTCAATTAACTCATTCCCTTACAATTTCTTCTGAAATTGGATTCATCAATAACACGTTGTCGTGAAAAGTTTATTACAAGCAAAATAACTTTCTATTCATTCTAAACACAGCTATAGATCTATCTATATTCGTTCAACATAAAAGACGTCCAAAATAAAACCCACATTTACCAAATCCAATCCCAATTTCCACCACAATCGTGCCATAACGGTATAAAACAAACATTGGAAAACAGAGCAACATTTTGACACAGCTCCATTCAAAGTTCACCTTCAAAATCCAAAATGTAAATTACAAATTGTCCCGTCATGCAATCTCCATCGACATTTCCTACAAACCCACAGAATCGACGATCTACCAGACCCCAACCCCCGAAACAGCCATGAGAAACGATCCCGATCAATGAACTCACCGGTGCATTCTGCAATAGCGCAGTCCGCGTCGCTGCGGCAAGGATCCAACAAGCAGGCAGGATCAGTCAGAGATCGTCGCGGATCGATACGGAACGTCCGTCGCGATGCACTTCCGATACACTTTCCCGCGTCGTCCGGTCGCGAGAACAAACGTACAACGAATCAGTCCCGATGTCTCGAGCGACGAAAATTAAACGAAAGAAACTCAGAAAAGAGAGAAGAGATGAGGATCGGAAAACGATGGTCGGGTCGATATGGCTGGCCACCACAGTCCCAGGAGCGAAACTCAAAGAGGGTGCGTCAAAAGTCGGCCACTTGTCGAGTATACTTGTTGCTGGCGGTGTCCGGCGCAGTTGTCCAGTGACCACTGAACTGACTTTCGGCGGTGCACCGGTTGTGTTAGGCGATTCCTCAGTTAGATGCTTACTGGCCGAGTGTCTCGCATAATGCGAGTAACTTCACTCCGCGTCCTGTCGTCGTCCGCCGCGTGTATAGTTCTTTATCGCGGAGGCTAACCCGGCCTCTCCACATGGTGGTGGAAAGCTCCCCAAAACCCGTGGCTGCCGGGGAAGGGGAAACGTTAAGCTGCCTTACCTCGAGGTAACAACCTCCAGGTGAGAGAGAAGTAAACGGCCGATGAAGAGGAAAAAGTGGCAGAGCGATAGAGACCGAGCGAGAGGCACCACAGAGGAGGGAGTGGAGGTGGAGGAGGCGTAAACTCCCGTCTACGTTTTACTTTCCTTTCTCTAAACGAGCCGCGGCGGCTGCTGCCCTCGATTCGACACATCGATTGTGTCTCCGCGCTCACCGAAACACATTTTTTTCGCTGTGACCGGCCGGAGCGGTTTCTAATCGATCATGATTGTTTGTTTAATCGAAGGTTGCTGGTCCGTCCGTGTGAAGACGGAGAGCTAGTTCGGTTACGTGACTCTGGGGCTTGGGGTTGATCGGTCATGGTACTGCGCTCATAATAGCGGTTAGGCCTGTTTCCTTGCAGATTTTTGGAGTTGTTTGGTTGGCTTCCGGTGGCTACTTTTTTTGGATTATTTTTTCTTTATATTTTTGGTTAATTACTCTTCACGCGGATATGAATCAGTCTCAGACTTTATTTTTGGCTGTATCCAAATGCTTTACTGAAAATTCTGGCGTGTGTGTTTTTTTAATGAAGACTTTGTTAATGGAAATTTATTAGATTGGGCAATAAAACTTTCCCCTTAATCTTATTTTTATAGAATATGTTATGAATATCGTTTTTGGAATGAAAAGGGTAATATACATAAAGTTTCAAAATGAAGTATTTAGCTAGTATTTGTGATAATATGATAACTGCTCTCATTCTTAGATTTTTTGTACTCTTATTGATAACTTAATTTAAGCAACTACTTCATTATTAAATTGTTTGACGTGAGGAAACTAATTTAACAGAAAACTTATCCTAGATACTTCACTCAGATTTAATAACTTAACCGAACAAACTACTTAATTACTCGGCTTAAATGACACAAGATGAAACTAAACTCAGCCACTTAACAAACAAAGCATTTTTCGCGGATGGTAGCTCGATAGACAACTGAACATTATCAGCGTCTGCAATCACGGCGGGTACGAGCAAAGTGAAACAGTATGCGTGGCAGGTTAATTACTCGGAGACACTAAGCGAGGGGGTCTCGTTAATGGACGATCTTTCGAGCGAGACGCTCAATAATTTAACTTGATTATATAATCAATTACAATATTCTATACCCCGTGCTCAAATTCATATGGCTTTCATAACCTTGCGCAATGAAGTTTGAGTGCCGCTTATGCAACGGGGACTCAAGGTAGATTTAATGTCGTGAAAAGCTCGTGTAAGGGTTCTGTAGATTTTGATCCAAATTGCTGCCATAATAATCTAAGGCACACTGTGAAGTGTAGAATCGTATAACTAGAAATAGAATTACGCGTACATAAATATTGTTCCATATTTTGAATAGATTGAAAACACAAAAGTCTATAAACATGGAGCTTATTTAAGCAATTGTTTTCATATTATTTAAAAGTTTGACTAGTTCAGCAATTATTTAAAATGCAGCATTTAGCAATTATTTAAGTGACAAATTAGTAATTATAAAAATATAAATTTATAATAATGAAAATTATACATTATTATAAGAATGTATACATTTGTATCATCACTGAAGGAAACAATATCTTGTTTACTATCAAAAACTGTGAAAGTTAGGAATGGAATTAATAAGCTTCCTAAGAATGTGTCCTCGAAATACGACGACCAGACGGTGAACGTGTTTCGTCTCGGGTTTACAGCGCCGTAGCTCTGCTTTTTTTTAATACAGACGATCGCTTCGGATATCCCGACTTTCATCAGAAATAAGATAAAAAAAAAGAAAGCGTCGGCAAATCCGGAGCACCAGCTTCGCAACCTTCGTCGCGAACCCGAGGATTATCTAATAGATCCGGCTGGCCCGAGATCCATATGCCGTAGCAAAGTGTAGCAGATCCTGCTCACTTGCCGCTCGTGTTACGAAAAAATTTTTGGAACGTATCATGAGTCATAGTATCGACGTAAGAGACAGCGTCAGATTGATTTCGATTTAGATCATGTGCCGGGGAAAAAATTTGATTAATCGAAGGATCATGCGGGTCAACCAAATTCTCGTAACAGAGCGTGCGTTAAACGATGATTGCGAATCGGCAGAAAGCGAAGCGACAAGTATAAATCGCGATTGCCGTCCCAGCGGATCATCGAGCGCCGGGTGCGATCGATCAACGAAACCGCGTTTAACGTTTCATTGTACTCGGATCTGTTTAAGACCTTAACAGCGATTATCGACGGGATGCAACTTATTGTCGAGTGAATAGCCACGCGAGGAACAATGAGTAAATAGAAACGTCGTGTTCAGAATTAATGAGCTCCCTTTCTATTACTTGAACGTTTATTTATTATCAAGTATAATATGTTTATAGATCAACGACTTATCAGACGAATTATTTACACGTTGACTTTTTTGTTTAATCGGTCGCGACAGGTTAATTAACCTGTACTAATTTTTCACTACCGACTAGTCAAACCTGATTTAGTTTTGCATTGAAAATAAAAATTTTATTTTTTAATTAAAAATGATGCAAATGTGGAATAATGGTATTGAACTAATCGAGCTTTTTCCTGCTAGCAGATTTTGTGTAAAATTTGTTAGAACTACTGTACCGATGCGTTTGACTCTTATGCTCCGTCGAGAAGCATTTCACATTAATTATATCTTTAATATACGCGTTCAGAAAGTTACGTAAATATTTAAAAAATATTTATGACCTGACAAGCTTCATTACGAGTGTGTATGTATACCAGAATAATACGTGTAAACGAATAAATCAGTGGCTCGTAGCAGTGTAGTAAAAGTCACTACACGTCATGTGCTGAAATGAGATTTTGTCTGTATATCATACTTAAGTCTTCAAAGTATGTTCCTTTTGTTGTTTATCAAAGAAATGCAATATAATTCTTTCTCCTTTACCTTCTATGCGCCGTCTGCGCCATTTCCTAACAACTTTAATTGTCCAACGTCTCAAGAATCGTTTCATTGAAAAATTAGACTTCTAATTTCCTACAACCAGAAAATTGGATTACGTGAACTATTATTTCTCATTTCTTTATTTGAATTGTACGTTTAAAGTCGTATCAACATCATAGCGTATTAGCGGCCATTAGCAGAGTTAGAAAATCATAATCTTTCTCAATTTGTTAAGCTCCGTTGGATTTCTTTGCAATGTCCCTTAATTCATAGGAAAATGATTGTTCGCTATTACTCGATACCCTTGCGCATGACGTCGCGCACACTGGAGAAGACGTTTGCAACATAGTCACTCGCATTAAGACGTTCATATCCGTACGTAAGGCAGTCGCCATCGGTATGAATTTATCATGCTCGGGAACTGGGCGCCTTGTTTAATAATATCGTAGCAGAAATAGAAAGATTGAACTACGATCTATACTGCAGTACACGATAAATCAGTCGCTTCGTACGTGGATGGGATCATTCCGCATATTGAACGAGATATTGATGGTTGCACGCGATTGGTTTCTGTCGTTCACCTGGACAGCAAATATGAAAGCACTAACGGAATACATCATCTGCACATTTATTGTTGACAAATGTTGCAAGAATGTTCAAATGTCTTGGAGTACATGCGATCAAATTAAAATACATCGTACAATTTGTAATCGTAACTATTCGATACGAAGATTGAATTTAAAGAGTTCAAAATGCGGTTGACCATTTAACAATTTACATTTCAACATTTTAAGTATTCCCTTGATTGACCTTCTTTCTCTACAGTTCTCTACAATTTTATCAAAATAGTAAATTCTATAATGTATAGAATTATATATTAATTCCTTTTATAATTTTCAATTTCTCCATACCGACATTGGTTACTAATTCACTTATCAATTACCTATAACAATATTATAATTTATAAATCTGAAACTACCTTAACATTGAAATTTTTCACTAAAATACACTAACTCCAAGTATTCAGTAGCCATACCTTACCGTTTACAGTTCATTACAAAAAGCGAAGAACACCATGCTCGTCTTACATCCACGTTACCCCTAAACCACTCAAATTGATAACAAACCAACAATAACTAATTTGAACTGGAAAGAATTAATAACATTTATGCAGCAGTACCTACAAACTTAATTCATTCCACTCCGAAGTGCACATCTCGAAGAGTATGCATCTCAAAACCCAGTTTTCCTTTATGCTAATACATTCCCTAGAAAAAGCCTATAAAATCATTACAATTCCTTTCTCGAAATTAAATTCGCATCTAAAGGTGCAAATGGAGTACGAGAAAACTTCGTATGTCGAAAAATTCATATGCAGAGCGATTCGTAAGTCGAGGTACCACTGTATTTGTTAAATTTCGTTTGAAACCTTCGCCAGGAGTCCGACATTACTATAAGGCGAGGGGCTCAGGAAAGATGAGATCACAACAATATTCAACAATGTATCGCAGCATGCATCTCCGCAAGAAAGCAAGATGTTGTAAAAGCGATGCTGGCTAAATTTATACCTAACCTAAATAATGTCGTGGATCCTCACGTGACTCCGCGTTCTCCGTTCCCCACGGTGGTCACCGAAGGGTAACCGATCCTCCGATCGCGGACTTTCATGGCAGCTTTTCGTTCGGCAGCCACTGGACGGGGAAATCGGCGTGACGGTTGGTAGCCGGTGATTTAAGATGAACATGTCGAAACCGGTGCTCCATTTTATTTTTCCCCCGGCCAAGTAGCGGATGCGCGGACACAATATAAACGGGCGTTGCGTAACGAGTCAAAAACGTGATAAGTGCGCGATGCAGGTGCGACGGTGCATCCACTGTTTAATTAGCGACATTATTCGCTGCGGATCACAGAGATCGGGACGTCGTGATTGAATAAACGGTTCA